TTCAGCTCAAGGGGAGCGCTCTACCGCTTGAGCCACAGCACCACTTCCGGTTTTCTAGTGGTTTATTGGAGATAAGAGTCTCAGGGACTTTACTGCCCGGGCCGGCTTTGAACTGAGATCCTCAGATCTCAGCCTCTTGAGTAGCTAGGATTACAGATGTGAGCCACCGGCTCCTGGCTTGATGGAGGTATTTTCTACTTTTGTGTGTTGGTTTTTGAAATGGCTTCTAAGCTGTTGGGGAAAAAATATGTGTGTATATATTTGGCTCTATTAGATAGAAGTGTTTCTTTTGGTCTAGAGGTGTGTTGACAGAATTTTTGAGGCTGTAGGGAACTGTGAACTAAAAGTTTAGGAGCCTCTGGAATCAGGGGGTAAAATGATGTGGTGGGTCCTCTCATGGAGTATCAGAGTGAGCTTCTAATATTTGAGTAATGCCTTCAATGAAACTAAGAAGTGAGCACTGTGGGGATCAGGAGGAAGCACATTCCAGATAGAGAGATCAACATGGGCAAAGAGTTGACAGTGAGCTTGATATGCTCCTGGAAGAGCAAAGAAAGGCAGAGTGACAGTACTGCTTATTAAATCCTAAATGACTTAAAAAAATTGCATGTATTCAGGTTGGTCATGATGGTGCATATTGTAGTTCCAGCTATGCAGGAGATGGAGGTGGGAAGATCCCTTGAGTCAGGAGTTCACAGTCAGCATGGGCAATAGAGCCAGACTCCCAACTCTCAAAAAAGTTATAGGCTGAGAAGGTGGCTCAGTGGTAGAGTGCTTGCCTTGCATGCCTGAGGCCCTAGGTTCCATTCCTCAGTACCACGTAAGCAGAAAAAGCCAGAAGTGGCGCTATGGCTCCAGTGGTAGAGCACTAGCCTGGAGCTGAAGAGCTCAGGGACAGTGCCCAGGCCCAGAGTTCTGGCCCCATGACTGGCAAAAAAAAAAAGTTATATAGGAAGTGGCACTGTGGCTCAAGTGGTAGAGCTCTAGCCTTGAGCTGAAGAGCTCAGGGACAGCGCCCACGCCCATAGTTCAAACCCCACTGACCAAAAAACAAAAACAAAAACAAAAAAGTTATGTACATTACTGTTTATTCTTTGTTCTGTAAAATGCTATGATTTTGCTTATTTTTTTGAGATACAGTCTCATTTTGTTAGTCCAGACTAACCTAGAATGCATTATGTGTCCCAGGCTGGCCTTGAATTTTGGGGTCCTCTTGCCTAGGCCTCCTGAGTGCTGGTATTACAGGCATGATCCATTGGTGCCCAGCCCATACTGCTATATTTTTAATACATTTAAAATATATTTTGTGAGAAAATTATGCTGGCTGGGCACCTGTGGCTCACGCCTATAATCCAAGCTACTTAAGAGGCTGAGATCTGAGGATCATGGTTCAAAACCAGCCCAGGCAGGAAAGTCCATGAAACTTATCTCTAATTAACCACCAGAAAACTGGAAGTAGAGCTGTGGCTCAAGTAGTAGAGTGCTAGCCTTGAGCTGAAGAGCTGAGGGACAGTGCCCAGGCCCAGAGTTCAAGCCCCAGAACCGAACAAAAAAAACATGAAAGAAAGAAAAAGAAAATTATGATGCTTAAATCTCAGGGTCCACACATAAAAGTTTATTGGTTTTATTGCTTTTATACTATAGTGGCAGAGTAGACCAGTTGTAACAGATGCTATATGGCTAGAAAATCCTGAGTCATCTACCCTCTAGCCCTTTCCAGAAAAATACTGTTGACCTCTGCTCACTGATAGTTAGGAGTTAGCCCTAAAGCTAAGTGAGGGAGAAGAAGGCCAGTTTCCAGTGGGACTTCTGCAAAGCTGCACTGACTTGAATGTACTTGGAATGTGTCATCAAGGAGCTGGTGGCCAGATGACTGTAAGTGACATAGCTTGGGGGAAGGTGGCAGGATTCATACTGGGAAGAACCTTGGTGACTATATAAGTTTCGGTTAATCCACCAGAGAGTCTTTGAAAGGCTTAATGCAGGGCCACATTAATTGGTCATGATTATAATCCCTGCACCTTGGGAGATGGAAAGGTAGAGACTGGGATGAATTTTCACAAGAGGCAACAACTTAAGTCCCTATCCAAAAAAATAACTAACAAAAAAGTCTGAAGGTTTAGCTCAACTAGTAGAGTGCCTGCCTAGCAAGCTCAAGGTTCTGAGTTCAAACTTAAGTACCATTCACACACAAAAACTTTTTAAAGTGAGGTGGTCAGATTTATCTTTCTCCAAAAACCCTTATGCAGAGATTTGATTGGAGCCAGGCGAGTGAAATAAGAGGCAGAGAGACTAGTTGAGGCTTTTGAAGTCATTTAAGGGAGATGCCAGTAACTGCCTCTATTGCAGTGACGTTGCTGTATTGATTGGAGAGGCATTTGGGAATCAAACTTGAAAGGCTGTCATGTCTTACTCCATTAGGATGCTATAACAAAATACCTTAGACTGGGTGGCTTACGAACAAGACATTTTGTTTCTCATAGTCCTGGAGCCTAGGAATTCCAAGTTCATTGTAGTATATTGTCTAGTGAAGAAGGCCTGTTCCCTGGTTTGCCAAAGGTCGTATGGCCAAAGGGGAACTCTCTTCTTAGCCCTTTAGAAGGGCACTAATGCGCCGGGCGCTGGTGGCTCACGCCTGTAATCCTAGCTACTCAGGAGGCTGAGATCTGAGGATCGCGGTTCAAAGCCAGCCCGAGCAGGAGAGACCGTGAGATTCCTATCTCCAATAAACCACCAGAAAACCGGAAGTGGCGCTGTAGCTCAAGTGGTAGAGCGCTCGCCTTGAGCTGAAGAGCTGAGGGACAGTGCCCAGGCCCAGAGTTCAAGCCCCCACCACCGACAAAAAAAAAAAAAAGAAGGGCACTAATGCCATTTATGTGGGCTCTACCCTTAGGACCTAACCACCTCTCGAAGGTCCTACCTCCTAATACCAATTTGGTAAGATGTGGAATTTTACCTTATGAATGGGCAAGGGCATAAATATTCAGTCCATAGCATTCAGTGATTGATTGGAGACATTGAAGTACAGCTATTTTCATGTTTCAAATGTGTGAGTTTTCTTCTTACAAAAGTTTATTCTTTTTGGTTCACATGATGCTTGTTAGAGAAACCCGTGTTTAGCAGTAGTCTTCAAAGCAAAATTCTCCAGCAGTGTTTCATGCCTCCAGTGTTCTTTCTCAATTTGTGTACTGATGTCACATCTCTCCCTGGCTTCTTCATGTTGTTCTCTGTTCACAGGAAATTTGGCTTTTAAGGAACTGAGAAACTCTTGGCAGATTAATTTTCCTTTTAAGGTTTATCTTGGTTGAACAAATCTCCCCAAATAATTTTTTTGTTGATGATCCTCAGGCTTTTTTGGATTTCAGGGGTAATTGTCAGCAATGACAACTGCTTCTTGTTCCCAGACCACTGGGTCCCTTCCCAGTTTGTGAGCTGTCTGACCTTTGCCTTTTTCTCTTCTTTAGAGCTGAAGTTTCACTTACAGAAGATGGTAATAAGATAATTATTTTCTGTTTTATAGAATGTGTTGTGTATTAAATTGCTTACTTCCATATCAATTCATTTAAGCTTTACAGTTAAATCATGTGGAAGGTAGAGCAGATCAAATTACTGACATTGAGAAAAATTAGAGGGTTTGTTTAAAGTCATATGTCAATAAATAATAAAGCAAGTGATAAAACAGGTTTCTAGATTTTGTCGTCTTCTTTTTTTTTTTGTCAGTCATGGGGCTTGAATTCTGGGCCAAGGCGCTGTTCCTCAGCTCTTCAGCTCAAGACTAGCACTCTACCACTTGAGCCATAGTGCCACTTCCAGATTTCTAGATTTTGAAGTCTTAATCTTTCTTTACTTCTTTTCCTTCCTTCCCTCCCTCCCTCCCTCCCTCCCTCCCTCCTTTCCTTCCTTCCTTCCTTCCTTCCTTCCTTCCTTCCTTCCTTCCTTCCTTCCTTCCTAACTTTTCTTCTTCCCTCCCTCCCTCCCTCCCCCTCTTCCTTTCCCCTCTTCCCTTCCTTTCCCTTCCTTTCCCTTTCCTTCCTTTCCTTTCCTTTCCTTTCCTTTCCTTTCCTTTCCTTTCCCTTTCCCTTCCCCTTCCCCTTTCCCTTCCCCTTCCCCTTTCCCTTTCCCTTTCCCTTTCCCTTTCCCTTTCCCTTCCCCTTCCCCTTTCCCTTTCCCTTTCCCTTTCCTTCTCAAGGTTTAGCTCTCTACCACTTTGAGCCATAGTACCACTTTCGGTTTTCTGGTGGTTAATTGGAGATAAGAGTCTCATGGGCTGGGTGCCGGTGGCTCACGCCTGTAATCCAAGCTACTCTGGAGGCTGAGATCTGAGGATCGTGGTTCAAAGTCAGCCTGGGCAGGAAAGTCCTTGAGACTCTTATCTCCAATAAAACCACTAGAAAACCGGAAGTGGCTCAAGTGGTAGAGCGCTTGTCTTGAGCTGAAGAGCTGAGGAAGAGCACCCAGGCCCAGACTTAAAGCCCCAGGACCAACAAAAAGAAAAACAAAAAGAGTCTCATGGATTTTCCTGCCCGATCTGGCTTCAAACCAAGTTCCTCAGATCTCAGCTTCCTGAGTAACTAGGATTACAGGCATGAGCCACCAGTGGCTGGCTGGTCTTAATTTTTCTATTTTACACTCTATCTCCAAGAAAAAGAGTTGGGCTAGTTAGAATTATTTATGTTTGTAGTGATAAAGACATCCAGGTAAGATGTTCTTTCCCCTCTGTGTTTGCACTGTGGGATTTCACCCAGATGCCAGCATGCGCCTTGCAGTGTTTCTAAGCAATATATGGACTTCCATCAATTCCCTAGGCTACCATTTGAGAAGCTGTGTTCTTTTTTTTTTTGGTTGTGGGGCTTGAATTCTGGGTCTGAACACTGTCCCTCAGCTCTTCAGCTCAAGGCTAGCGCTCTACCACTTGAGCCACAGCGCCACTTCCATGAGAAGCTGTGTTTTGTATATTAAAGCGAATTTAGTCTGTCTCAATTCCTTCTCCTCCTCTCTAGGTGGTGGCTCTAACTTTGACAGTGAAAGGCCAAATGGAAAAAACATGCTTATGAACCCAAGTTCCGGGAGTCAGGATAAACCAGAAAACTTGCTCCCAAGGTAATGCAACTCTTCTTCTTCTTTTTTTGGCTGGTTTTGGGGCTTGAACTCAGGGTGTGATTGCTGCCCTTGAGCTTCTTTTGCTCAAGGCTCACTTGAACCACAGCTCCACTTCAGGCTTTTTCTGAGTAGTTTATTGGAGATAAGAATCTCATGGACTTTCCTGCCTGAGCTATCTTTGAACTGCTATCCTCAGATCTCAGCCTCCTGAGTAGCTAGGATTATAGGCATGAGCCAGCAGGGCCTGGTGCAACCCTTTTTTGATTTTTACATTTATTATTTATTTATTTATTTATTTTCCATCATGGGGCTTGAACTCTGGGCCTGGGCACTGTCCCTCAGCTCTTCAGCTCAAGGCAAGCACTCTACCGCTTGAGCCACAGCGCCACTTCCGTTTTTCTGGTGGTTTATTGGAGGTAAGAGTCTCATGGACTTTCCTTGCCCGGGCTGGCTTTGAAGTGTAATCCTCAGATCTCAGCCTCCTCAGTAGCTAAGATTACAGGCGTGAGCCACCAGTGCCCGGCTAACCCTTTTTTTAGTACCTCTTATGACTGAGGCTCTTACCAGTAGAGAGAGAACTGTGACTGTTATTGTTTATGGTGTAAGTTCTTCCAAGTAGCCTGGGTCTAAGATGTGTTCCTAAAAAACATCTGACATTCACTGAACGCTTATTGTGTATGGTTAGCACCATCCTTTTACATGGACTATTTCTTTTTAAACTCAGGGTTTCCTACTTGCTTTACTTGCTTTTGCTTGATTGGCCACACTTTTTTTTTTTTTTTTGCTGGTTATTTTGGAGATGGAATCTTAGGGACTTTTCTGTCCTGGCTGGCCTTAATCTGTGGTTTATTTACTTTTAAAAATTTTCCAGGAGACACACTATTACAGTATATTTAGTCTAGATTCCAATGCCCCCTATTGATCATAGCCTGAATCATCTGGTCTGGATAAAACACTTTATCTTGTCAAGATTTTAATGAAGCCCATCAGCAACAATGAACAATTCCTAAATGAAATGTAGCTAGATCCATCCTTCTTTTTTTTCTTGTCAGTCCCGGGGCTTGAACTCAGGGCCTGGGCACTGTCCATGTGCATCTTTCGCTCAAGGCTAATGCTCCACCACTTCAGCCACAGTGCTACTTCCAGCCTTTTCTGTTTATGTGGTACTGAGGAATCGAACCCAGGGCTTCCTGTGTGCTAGGCAAGCACTCTTACCACTAAGCCACATTCCCAGCTCCAGATCAGTCCTTCTTTACCTACACTTGGGCTGTGGTGTTTTACACAGATAAAGCCTTCCATAGCCTTAATTAGTATGTACATAGTAGTGATAATAAACACTCATTAGACATTTATTAAGTGTTAGGAATGTTTTAAGTGCCTTATGTATCTTGGTTCATTAAATAACCTTCAACAAAACTTTCTTGGAACTGTCATGGTTCTGATAGGTAAATATGTCAGATTTTGCTTAAGTTGGTACTTGGATAATTTATAGTATAAGTACTATACAAATAATAAAGTATATATTCTCTCTCCCTCTCCCTCCCCCCCCCTCCTTCTCTCTCTCCCACTGTCTCCTTCTTTCTCCTTTTTTTCTCGATGCCAGTCCTGGGGTTTGAACTCAAGACCTGGGCAGTGTCCTTGAACTTTTTTTGCTCAAGACTAGCACTCTACCACTTGAGCCAAAACTTCTGGCTTTTTTGTGGGTTAATTGAAGATTAAAAATCTCATGGGCTTTCCTGCCCAGGCTGGTTTGGAACCACAATCTTCAGATTTCAGGCTCCTGAGTAGCTAGGATTACATACATGTATGAGCCACTACCTGGCTCTTGTTGCCTTTCCTTTTATTTTAGGTGACTTCCTGTGAAATAGAGATATAGAAGTGGAATTAGCCAGCCAGGCACTGGTGGCTCATGCCTGTAATCCTAGCTACTCAGGAGGCTGAGACTCAGGATCACAGTTTGAAGCCAGCTCGGGCAGGAAAGTCTGTGAAACCAGAAAACCAGAAGTGGCACTATGGCTCAAATGGTAGAGCAAAAGCCTTGCGCTGAAGAGCTCAGGGACAGTGCTTACTTACGCCCAGAATTCAAGCCCCATGACCAACTCAAAAAAAAAAAAAAGAATGCAATGCAAAACTAAAAATCTGAAGGTGTGTGTGTGTGTGTGTGTGTGTGTGTGTGTGTGTGTGTGTGTGTGTGTCTCCCTCTGTGTTCATATGCACATGTGCCTGCATGCACTAGTGTACACATGCTTGTTCTGGAATCTGAATTCAGGACCTTGAGTTTTTCTTAGCTTTTTTTTGCACAAGGATGACACTTTACCATTTGAGCCACACCTCCAGTTCTGGCTGTTGATGGTTAATTGGAAGTAAAAGACAAGGATTTATCTCCCCAGGCTTGGCTTTGAACCTGAGATTCTCAGATTTCAACCTCTTAAGTAGCATGAGCTATTGACTCCTGGTCTGAAAGGTTTGAAGTCTTGTTAGATGATGCACAGGGTTCTAGAAAGAGCATTGTCCTGTCTGAATTTTAGTCCACACTGTGCCACCATCCAGCCTAGAAAATTTGTAAATGATGGTGGCTTTAATTTTTCTCACTTGAACATGAATGAAGCATAGTAGATTATCTTCAAAGTCCCTTTCTGGTCTAAGAGTCTATGAATCTACTGTCCATACCAATATACTATGTGAACAACAACATACAAGTTCAGTAAGTTCTCCATGTGTGTTGTAGCAAATAAGCTTACTTTTGGTCTCTTATAGTCTTCTGTGATTCAGATGCTTCTTTGTGGGAATGTCTATCTTTGACTTATATTCACCTATTTTGCCATCAAGGACTCATCAAAATAATATAAAAATGCTTTTATTTTTCCAGGCACAATAAATCCAAGTCTGAAATCTCTGACATGGTTCGCTCTTCCACCATCACAGTATCAGATAAGGCTCATATTTTATCAGTGCAAAAGTTTGGGCTGAGAGAAACAATTGTGAAGTCACATCTACTTCAGAAAGAAGAGCAGTACACCTACATTCAGAACTTCAGGTAACTAACTGGGCCTGGAATTCAAGCACTTCCCTCCCACACCTTGAATTTAAAAGCGAACTGTGTACTATAGAACCTCTCCTCTCCTCATTTTCAAAAAGAGTGATCCCATCCAGGTTGTTGTTGTTTTTTGTTTTTTTAATGGATTTTTCAATTATTATTATTATTATTATTTTGCATGCTGGTACTAGATTTGAACTCTAAGGATTTGAGTATCAGTCTTGGCTTTTTTGTTCAAGGTTGGTGCTTTACCACTTCCACTTGTGGCTTTTTTGCTGATGACTTGGAGCACTAACCTTGAGCAAAAAAGCTCAGAGATAGTGCCCAGGCTGGGAGTCAAGCCCAGCTCTAGAAAAATAAATGAATAAATAATATTAAAAATGCCATTTATAGAGACTGAAGCCAAGTAAAATCTTTCCCCTGTTTTCTCCATATTGTCTCCAAATCGCTGATCAATTCTCTTGGGGGACAGGTTTTTTGTGGGAACATACAATGTAAATGGACAATCCCCGAAAGAATGCCTCCGCCCCTGGCTGAGCCATGGTATCCAGGCACCAGATGTGTACTGTGTAGGGTGAGTGATTCTTTTTTGGTCATCTCTCCATTCTCAAAAACACTGAACTATGATGAAGGGATGGGGACATGAATATGTAGTCAAGTCTTTGTGACAGATGAAAGAATTGAAAACTGAGCATGTGTTGAATAACAGCTGCCTCTCTGTTTGATGTTCTTCTTAGTAAACAAAAGTTTGGCAAAGTACTATGCTTGGCATTTTAATACTAATATTTAATTCTTAGTTTACCTTCTGTTAAAATCTGTACATCTTGAACTGAATTTTTCAGCAAAAAATACTTTTTGCCAGGTAAGGACGATTAGCTAAAGTCCTTTTGTTTTGGTGCTGGGAAGTGAACCCAGAGCATTACTTACATCTGTTAGACAGGGGCTCTAGCATTGAGCTGCTCCCTTAGCCCAATCTTTTTTTTTTTTTTCTCTGTCATGGGGGCTGAACTCTGGGCCTGGGTGCTGTCCTTCAGCTCAAGGCTAGCGTGCCCTACCACTTGAGCCACAGTACCACTTCTGGCTTTTTTCTGCTTATGTGGTGCTGAGGAATGGAACCCAGGCGTCATTCATGCAAGACAAGTACTCTACCACTGAGCCAACTTCCCAGCTTCAAATCATTTTTTTACATGTACTATCTTGCCACCATTATCTTGTGTCCTGTTGGTTTGGAAGGCCAGAAAAGGAAGCCTAGATGGAAATTTATGTAGACTGAGTTTGAATCCTAGTTCTCATTTTGATCCTTGAATGAACCAGGGATGGTAGGTGTAAAATGGGGATACATCAGTTAGCTCTTTGGCTCTGAATATTTATCTTTATTCCCTCTTGAGGATTCTGTAGTGTAGCTAGGCCATAAGCTTCTAAACCAGTTTGAAAACCATTTTATCCATGTTGTCTTCCTCTACTGTCTTAACTGGCTGCTTTTCTAATAGGTTCCAGGAGCTGGATCTGAGTAAGGAAGCCTTTTTCTTTCATGATACTCCAAAGGAGGAAGAATGGTTTAAAGCTGTGTCAGAGAGTCTTCATCCAGATGCCAAATATGCAAAGGTCAGGGAGAAGTCAGAGACCTCTTTTATTATTATTATTATTATTAATTTTATTTATTTATTTGTTTATTTATTGTCGGTTATGGGGCTTGAACTCTGGGCCTGAGCGCAGTCCCTTAGCTCTTCAGCTCAGGGCTAGCACACTACCACTTGAGCTACAGCACCACTTCCGGTTTTCTGGTGGTTTATTGGAGATAAGAGTTTCACGGGTTGGCTTTGAATTGCGATCCTCAGATCTCAGCCTCCTAAGTAGCTAGGATTACAGGCGTGAGCCACCTGCGCCTGGCTATTATTCTTTTTTAATTTAATTTAATTTTACTAGTCATAGGGCTTGAATTCAGGGTCTGGGCACTGTCCCTGAGCTTCTTTTGCTCAAGACTAGCACTCTACCTTTTTTTTTTTTTGCCAGTCGTGAGGCTTGAACTCTGCCTGGGTGCTGTCCCTCAGCTCTTCAGCTCAAGGCGAGCACTCTACCACTTGAGCCACAGTGCTGCTTCTGGTTTTCTGAGTGGTTGATTGGAGATAAGTCTTACAAGTTTCTTGCCGGGGCTGGCTTTGAACTGCAATCCTCAGATCTCAGCCTCCTGGAGTAGCTAGGATTATAGGCGAGCCACTGGTGCTCAGAGTAGCACTCTACCTCTTGAGCCACAGTGCCATTTCTGGCTTTTTCTGTTTATCTGGTACTGAGGAATGGAACCTAGGACTTCATGCATGCTAGGCAAGTATTCACCACTAAGTCACATTCCCAGCCCCAGTTACCTTTTAACTTTGTGCTACTGGTAGAGAAATTCTAAGATATTTTTTTCCTTTCAGTGACCTTTATTGTAAGCCAGTTCTAGTTCTGTTCTTGTTCTCAGTTCCATCTCCTTCGAACAGGTGCCTCTGGGTGGGAATGTTCAGAGTCTGGTCAACTGGGAGCATTTAGGTGTAAAGTGTGCTCAGTGAGTCAAATCTTACATCCCAGCATGCGGGAGTTGATGCTGTCAGCCAGCTTTAAGACTACTTCTCTTTAGGGACATTTGTTCCTGTTTACAATTTCTCTCTCATGCCATAACTTGAATGTTTTCTAGGTAAAGCTCATCCGACTGGTTGGGATTATGCTGCTATTATATGTCAAACAGGAACATGCAGCATATATCTCTGAAGTGGCAGCTGAGACTGTGGGGACAGGAATTATGGGGAGAATGGTGAGTCCTTGCCTGATATTCTGCCATTAAAGACCTTGACTCCCAAGTTTTGGCAGTACTACATCAGTGCTAGTTTGAGGGAGCCAGTGTCCCCTCAAGCAGAGCTGGATTGAACAGACTAGAGTTCATCTGGTAGTAAAGTCTCAGCTTGTTTTCCCAACTAGCACCTGTATTCCTGGTTACTTAGTGTTAGAGGCTCTGGTTAATCCTGACAATTTCATGAAGAATGGTGCAGAATCTGTGTTGGGTCATCAAGAAAAACAGAATGCTCACAGCAGATTTGCAAGATCCTTTTTTTTTTTTTTTGGTCTGTCATGGGGCTTGAACTCGTGAGCTGAGCTTTCACTCAAGGCTGTCACTTTGCTACTTTGAGCCATAGCACCACTTCCAGTTTTCTGGTAGTTAACTGGAGAACAGTCTCATGAACTTTTCCTGCCCAGGCTGGCTTCAAACCATGATCTCCAGATCTCATCCTCCTGAGGAGATAGGATTACAGATATGAGCCACTGGCATCTGGCCAACAGAATTTTTGGTAGAGAAAGGAGAGCACATGGCTTGTCTGTGATAGGAGAAAAGAGCAGTAAATTGAGAGAGCCAGGCTCTGGACTCATCTTTCAATACTGACTAATCCTTGTACCTTTGTGGATTCTTTAAAAAAAATCTTTTTAGGTACTAGATTTTAACTCAGGGCCTTATGCCTTCCTATTCAGTCAATCTACCACTTGAGTTATATGCCTAACACTAGATTTGTATGCTTATCTGTGAAAAAATAAACTCATAAAGCTATTAGTAAGATGGCTTAAGACAAAATATTTTGAAAGTTTGTGACATAATTGTATGTTGGATATATATATGTTTATAAAATATATATATATATATATATATATTTTTTTTTTTATCCTTTAATAGGGTAACAAAGGTGGCGTGGCAATCAGGTTCCAGTTACACAACACCAGTATTTGTGTTGTGAATTCGCACCTGGCAGCCCACACAGAAGAATATGAGAGGAGGAACCAAGACTATAAAGACATTTGTTCTCGGATGCAGTTTTGTCAGGTTGACCCAAGTCTTCCCCCTCTCACCATCACCAAGCACGAGTGAGTCTGGGCTTCTTCCTGTGAGGTTCTCCATGTGTGTGATGTGTGCAGTTGTGGGAGGGGGTACTAGCTGCCAACTTTCTTGGCAGTTCTTAGTTCCCTAACTTTACCATCTGGTAGACTTCTAGAATCATTTTCCAGCATCATTTGTCCCTGGAAGAGTATTAAATTTATTTTAATGTGAATGTGTCTAGATATAACATTATGAGAAAGGTAGCCAGAAACAAAAACAAACAAAAAACCCAAGCAGCTCAATCCAGTTTTTAGTATTATGTTTTAGGAATTTCTGCGTATTCTTTCTGGAGCACAAGAGAATTGGACAATACTACTTGCCTCTACTTGGCTCTTTTTCTCCTCTTACTTTACAAAGCTACAGTTGCAACTGCTTAGAGCATCTTTTTTTTTTTTTTTTTTTTTTTTTTATTGTGAAAATACCGTACAGAGGGGTTAAAATTACACGGGCAAGGTAATGGGTACATTTCTTATCAAGCATTGTTGCCTCCTCCTTTGTTTCCCCATCCCATCCCTTTCCATCTCCCCCTAGAGCATCTTTTACTTGTGTTCATCCTCTTTGTTTCATTTATGGCTAAACCTTGCTATTTGTCTGAATGCAAAGCCTTTGAACTTCAGGCTTTGTGGTAATAGTTGAAGCTGATGCCATTTTTTTTAAGAAGAGGAAGCCACTGGGGCCATGGTGCTTGCTTGAAAATAAAGTTATCCTCTTCTGTCCTGCTGCAGTGGAGCTGTCTCTGGCTTGTTGGTGTTCTGGAGGCTGGCATGATGGCTTTTCTTCTCCAAGACCCCCTGCAGGGATCTCTCACAGCTGAGCTTCTGTATTCTAGTGAACCTGTGGTATCGTAATTTATGAGTTGTGTGTCAGTTTGTGTGCTTTTAGCCTGTGGATGCATTATTTGGTAGTGTGCATACTGCTATTCACATTCTCCAATGATATGATTGTTGGCTTCAGACTTCATGAGATGTGTGATATCAGTATCATCAGAAAGCCTTGAGTTTGCTTTTACCAAAAGCAGCAGTTGTAACAAACCACTGTCATAACTGCTCAGGAGCTCAGTAGTTTAAATCCAGGCTCCACTACAAAGGTTGATCCTTTTGGAGGAATTCTATCTGGAGACTGAGATTATGTTTTGTGAAGTGGAATGTATGTAATGCAGCAAAGGCTTTGTGGCATTATCTGGTTTGGGGCTCTTGAGAGATCATCATCATTTCCTATTCTTGGTTCTTTTTTCATCTTCCCAGCAATGGGATAAGTGATTTTGCTTTCGGGTTCATTCATTCATCTGTGAGCGTGCGTGTGTGTGTGTGTGTGTGTGTGTGTGAGAGAGAGAGAGAGAGGGAGAGAGAGAGAGAGAGAGAAAGAGAGACAGGGAGAGAGAGACAGAGACAGAGATTAGGTCTTGCTATGTATATAGCTCAGGCTAGCCTCAAATACACTGTGTAGTCCAGGTTGGCCTTGAACTTGAAACCCTCCTGTTTTGTCTCCCAAGTACTGGGATCATAGGTATGTGCTACCATGTCTAGCATTACTTTGAGATCTTATTAGATTATTTTCTCAGTCATATAAGAACAAAATAGTTAAGGAGAATTCAACATTGTTTATAATGATCATGGGCCAAGATAATTGTAAGTCAGTCACATTTTTCACATGGTGCTAAGTGGGATGGCAAAAGAAAAAAAAAGTGGAATAGCCATGTCACTTCCCTACCCAGCTCCCAAAAGGCTGAACTTCAGGGCACTTCTGTCTGGAGCACCCTGGAAAGGATGGGTTAAAGTCCCTCCTAAACCTTGTTACCTTTGTGCTCTGTCCTCACAGTGTGATCTTGTGGCTGGGGGACCTCAACTACAGGATAGAAGAGCTGGATGTGGAAAAAGTGAAAAAGCTCATCGAAGAGAAGGCCTTTCAAACCCTGTATGCATATGATCAGGTACAGATGGCCACCTCTGTCCTCTTTGGACAATTGCTTCTGCTGTGAGGGCACAGAGAAGCCTGGCTTCCCAGCCCTTAACTTCCTCCTCAACATGGGAGCTTTCTGAGGACCTGATGTCCAGTAGTTTCTTCTTTTCATCTACTTTTCTCTCTTTTCTCTCTTCAGTAGTGGTCTCCCCATTGGCTCTTTCCTTGAGGCACTTTATCTCCTTTGAGAGCAAGAACATGTTCTCACTTATTCAAGAAGTCTAAATTTCAGACTGAAAGGGTCCCAACTTCGATAAAGAAACTACTTGGTATCTTTGAGATGATTTAATAATTCTTCTTAGGATGAACCTCCTGCTACCTGCATCCTTTTCCTCATGGGTAAGCCTGGAATCTTTCTCAGTTCCTCTCTTCAATTCTAATAGCAGTTAGTTCTATAACCTGCTGTTCTCTACCAGCATTTGTCATTAGCCATTTCCAGGACATGAGAAATGTCTTTCTTTCTCACTGTCCTCTTACTACTCCTTTCATTAAATTTGAATCCTGTTCTAGTGGTCAGAGTTGTTCAGAATGTAAATGTCTCTTTTCTTTCTTAGTCTAAACTCTCCTCATTTTAATAACCTAAGTATTGTCATGAATCTAAATCTTTCTATTATCATTTTCTTTCCCAGTGTAGATTAATTGAAGGAGAATCTTAATTTTGCTTGCTTTTTTTAAAATATAATTTTGTTATTATTAAGGTGTTGCGTAGAGAGGTTACCATTTCATAAGTTAGGTAATGAGTGTATTTCTTTTTTGGACAATGTCACCTCTTCCTTTGCTTTCCCCATTTTGCCTCCTATCCTTGCCCACAAGTTCTTTTTTATAGGCTAGTTTCTTTATTGGCCCATTTTTTTTCCTCTCTCTAGTTTTTTTTCTTTTTTTTTTATCTTATACTCAATTCTTCCTTTCTTTCTTTCTTCCTTCCTTCCTTTCTTTCTTTCTCTCTTTCTTTCTTTCGTTCTTTCTTTCTGTTGGTCGTAGGGCTTGAACTCTGGGCTTGGGCACTGTCCCTGTGCTCTTCAGCTCAAGGTGAGCACTCCGCTTGAGCCACAGCACCACTTCTGGTTTTCTGGTGGTTTATTGGAGATAAGAGTCTCATGGACTTTCCTGCCCGGGATGGCTTTGAACCGTGATCGTCAGATCTCAGCCTCCTGAGTAGCTAGGATTACAGGCATGAGCTACCTGCACCCAGCTTCTTCTACTCAATTCTTATATCAGCATTATCCATATCTGTCTGTTTCATCTGTGCTTAGGATTGAGGCATTCCCATTTTGCTATCCACCTCAATTTGCTGTCCTTTCTGGTCCTTCCTGAAGTACTAGTATCGGACTTTGTGTATTATCTACTTTCCATGTGATTTTAACATCTATATGTATCAATTCAAGAGGCATCTTCTTCCATTCAAACCTTTTTTTTTTTGGCCAGTCCTGAGGCTTGAACTCAGGGCCTGAGTGTTATCCCTGAGCTTTTTTGCTCAAAGTTAGCCATGGTACCACTTGAGCCACAGCTCAACTTCCAGATCTTTTTTTATTTTATTTTATTTTTTGCTGGTTAATTGTAGATAAGAGTCTCATGTAGTTTTCTTCCACACTGGCTTCAAACTATGACCCTCAGATGTCAGCCTCCCGAGTAGCTAGGATTATAGGCATGAGCCACTAACACCCAGCACATTCATACCTAATGTTAAAATTACTTTCTGTTGCTTTTTCCTTTGATAATGTTTCCAGAAAATCATTTTCAGAAAGTTGGCAAGTGGCTGTGTCCCCTATGTTAGAGATGACAGTTCTCCACCAATCCATGCAGTACCAAGTGTGGTCCCAAGGAAGAGGCAGGAATACATGCGGGCTTTCTTACTTGTTGTGTGTGACTTGGATGGGGCCCTGTGATTTAATGCAATATGTTACTATTCCTTTCAAAATGTGTCAGACACTTTTTTTTTTTTCCAGTCATAGGGTTTGAACTGTGGGCCTGGGCTTGAGTTCTTCAGCTCAAGGCTAGTGCTCTACCATTTGAGCAACAGCACCATTTCCAGTTTTATGGTGGTTAATTGGAGATAAAGAGTCTCACGGATGTTCCTGCCTGGGCTAGCTTTGAACGGTGAGCTTCAGATCTCAGCCTCCTGAGTAGCTAGGATTATAGACGTGAGCCACTGGAGCCTGGCTCAGACACTATTTTATTGTTGGCAGTTTTTCTAATGAGCCTATGAGGTAGGTTCTGTCATAAATCCCAAATTCACAGATGGGAAAATCAAGGCAGATTAATTTCCTCTAGTTCACATAACACAATTTAAGAGCACAATTCTCTGTATATATATTTGAAGCAACTATGCTGGATGGATGATATGTTTGATACTTGGAGCTGAGAAAGTATGTTGAAGTGTACCTAGTGCTGTTTAAGACATCTCAGTGAGGTGGCATTCAGGCTTCTAGATACAGATTTAAGATTCTTAAAGCCAGGCATAGTACATACTCATACCAACACATAGGATGCTAAGGCAGGATAGTCACAAGTTCAAGGCCAGCCTGGACTATATAGTGAGATCTTTACTCAAAAGAAACAGGTGAGGGAGATGAGAAGGGATTGAGCCTTAAAAATGATTCACCAGACCAGCATGGTATTACATGCCTGTAATCCTAGTATGAGGCTAAGGCAGGAAGATCAAGAGTTTGAGTCCAGCTTGGCTACATAATAAAACCCTATCTTAAAATTCAAGGAAAAAGCTGGGCATCAGTGGCTCACATCTGTAATCCCAGCTACTCAGGAGGCTGAGATCTGAGGATCATGGTTCAAAGCCAGGAAGATCCGTGAGACTCTTATTTCTAATAAACCACCAGAAAACTGGAAGTGGCTTATCTCAAGCGCTTGCCTTGAGCTGAATTGCTGAGGGACAGTCCTCAGGCCCAGAGTTCAAGCTCTGTAACCACCACCACCACCAACAACAAAAATCCAAGGAAAACTCCAGACACAGAGTCTCATATCTACAGTTGTAGCTGCTTGAAAAGTGGAGAAGAGCAGGAGGATTTTTGGTCTAGGATGGCCAGGCACAAATAACAGAGGGGCTGGGAAGGTGGCTCAGTGGTAGAGTGCTTGCCTTGCATGCATGAGGCCCTGGGTTCGATTCCTCAGTACCACATAAGCAAAAAGAAAAAAGCCAGAAGTGGCTCTGTGGCTCAAGTGGTAGAGCGCTATCCTTGAGCTGAAGAGCTGAGGGACAGTGCCCAGGCCCAGAGTTCAGGCCCCATGACGGACTCCCCACCCCACCCCCCCCAAAAAAAGAAAAATAACAGAAACAAAGGGCTAGACATGTAGCTCAAGTGGTATGGATTTCAAATTGATTTTCTTTCTTATTAATTAAACATTTGACTTGTTTGTGTATTTGATGATGTTGGGGATTGAATTCAGGACCTCAGACTTGCTAGGTAGGCACTTGACCTTTTGAGCCATGCTTCTGGCCCTTTTTTGTATTGGTTATTTTTATTTTTTGCCAGTCGTGGGGCCTGAACTCTGGGCCTGGGCACTGTCCCTCAGCTCTTCAGCTCAAGGCAAGCACTCTACCACTTGAGCTACAGTGTCACTTCTGGCTTTTTCTGCTTATGTGGTGCTGAGGAATTGAACCCAGGACCTCATGCATGCAAGGCAAGCACTCTACCACTGAGCCACTTTCCCAGCCCTGTATTGGTTATTTTTGAAGTAGGATCTCACTTCATGCCTGGGTTGGCCTAGGCTGTGATCCTCCTATTTGTGCTTTCTCATGTCGTTGGAGATGTAGGCACATAGAACTCACCCAGCCATTGGTTGAGATGAAGTTTTATGAACTTTTATACCTGGGCCAGCTTTGAGTTGTGTTTCCCTGATCTCTGCCTGCCTCTCAAGTATCAACCTTTATATTCTGAAGTATTTTCTCTCCCATCCTTTTATACAGCTCAAAATTCAGGTGGCTGCAAAGACTGTCTTTGAAGGCTTCACTGAGGGTGAGCTCACATTCCAGCCTACCTACAAATATGACACTGGCTCTGATGACTGGGATACCAGGTAGGTCAGAGGTCAGAAATGGTTCCAGAGGGTTGAACAAATGGTAACCTAGAAATTCTGGGAAGCAATAGACCTCATGGACTTGAAGAATATGATTTTTCTATGACGTTCCTTGTGTTTTTCACTCCAGTAAAAATTTCCATATTTATAAAAAGGAATTACAGGAAATTGGGGCAGGGTGGTAGGGGGAACATTTCCTATCAGTGTCTGCTCACTTAAGCAGCCTGCCTTCCCACAGATTGTCTGTTTGACTGCCTTGGGCTTCCATAATAGGTCAGCTGTGCTTACAGTAGTTCAAACTAACTTGGCTTATATCTAATTATTATATGCTTGGTACTATTTTTTTTTTCTGCCACTCCTGGGGCTTGAGCACTGTCCCTGAGCTTCTTTCTGCTCAAGGCTAGAACTCTACCACTTGAGCCACAGCACCACTTCTGGGCTTTTCTGTTTATGTAGTGCTGAAGAATCTAACTCTAGACCGTGCATGTGAGGCAAGCAGTCTACTGCTAAGCCACATTCCTGGCCCCTTGATACTATTTTATTTTATTTTTGTCGGTTGTGGGGCTTGAACTCTGGACTTGGGTACTATCTGTCAGCTCTTCAGCTCAATGCGAACACTCTACCACTTGAGCTACAGCGCCACTTCCAGTTTTTTCTAGTGGTTTATTGGAGATAAGTGTCTCACGGACTTTCCTGCCTGGGCTGGCTTTGAACCATGATTCTCAGATCTTAGCCTCTTGAGTAGCTAGGCTTACAGGCGTGAGCCACTGGCACCCAGCTTGATACTGTTTTTTATTAGTGCTTACTGTGTGTCACATGCTATTTGGTATATCTTATTTACATCATCTCACTTATTAGAATAGGTATGATTTTTAAAAATGAAATTATGAGAATATATTATACAAAAAATAAAAACAAAATTATACATAATAAGGGGTTTCATCATGAAATTTCCAAGCATGCATATAATATACTTTGTTCATATTTATTCTCTCTCTCTCTCACCTGTCCTAGGGCTTGAACTCTGGCCTGGACACTTTCCCTGAGCTTTGTGCTCAAGGCTAGTGTTTTACCTCTTGAGCCATACTTCTGGCTTTTTGGTGGTTAATTGGAGATAAGAATTTCACAGACTTTTTCCTGCCTGGGCTGGTTTTGAAACACAATCCTCTGGTCTCAGCCTACTGAGTAGCTAGGATTATAGATGTGAGCCACAGCACCGTAGAAAAATCAAAGAGCCTCTTAAACAATAAGTGGTAGAGAGGCGGGATTTGACTTCAGGACTAGGAATTCAGAGCTTGTTCCTTAAGGACTGTCTTTGAAGGACCATAGTGCTCTTATTCTCATATGGTTTTTATTATTATGTCCTAATTTTCACAGGAGGCTAGAGGACAGAGAGTCAGCTGTCTTTAATTCTCATTTCCTGCCAGGGGAGCAGGAAATGTTTCCCTTTTTCTATTTCTCCTTACTTTAGCCCCAGTTACTAAAATGAATCCTTGCTAACACTTTGAAAAACAAACAAAAAGAACAGTCAGTGAAGTGTGTGTTGTGTGTGTGTATATGTGTATGTGTGTGTTTTCTTTCCCCTCACAGCTAGCACTCTACCATTTGAACCATGCCTCCAGCCCAGTAAACTGTTTTCATGAAGCTTTCGTAGTTGTTTTAATGGCACACAGGATACATATTATTCCTTACAGACTAATGTTAGATCCCTGGGGTACATGGGCACTAAGACTGTCCCATTATTACCTGCCTGAGCTGGGCACTTGCTCAGCAGTGGGTCTTGCTTCTTCAGAAGTGTTCCCAGAATGGACTTTGCATTTCAGTGAGAAGTGTCGTGCCCCTGCCTGGTGTGACCGAATTCTCTGGAAAGGAAAGAACATAACTCAGCTGAGTTACCAGAGCCACATGGCCTTGAAGACCAGCGATCACAAACCTGTCAGCTCAGTGTTTGACGTTGGGGTAGGTGGGAAGCTGGTACCTGGGAAAATTCTATAAGGTACTGTTTTTCATATCAGGGCAACTTTTTGTCTTTCTGTTCTCTTTCTCTGTCCTTGAATATGAGGAAGCTTTGTAACATAGTTTTAGCTTAATAATTATTTCAGTAGACTTGTATACTTTTCCATATAGCTAGCAATTCCCTTAGTTATATCCTTCTAGATCTTTCTTTTTCTTTTTTTTTTTGCCATCTTAGAGCTTGAACTCAGGGCCAGGGCACTGTCCTTGAGCTTCTTTTGCTCGTCTAGCGCTCTACCACTTGAGCCACAGCGCTAGTTCCAGCCTTTTCTGTTTATATGGTACTGAGGAATTGAACCCAGGGCTTCATGCATGCAAGGCAAGTAATTTACCACTAAGCCACATTCCTAGCCCTAGATCTTTCTTTATGCATTTATAAGTGAGTATGTCACTATTCTGTGTACAATATACCAAATGTTTTTCCTATTTATTTATTTACTGGCAGCACTAGGGTTTATTTACCTCTTTAGCCATTCCCCCAGCCTTTTATACTTTTAGTTACTTTTTTTCAGATTAAGTCTTGCATTTTTGCTCTGGCTGGTCTTGTGATCCTTCTTTGTATACATCTCCCACATAGCTGGGATTTGCAGGCATGTGCCACTGTACCTAGCCTCTTTTATTTTAAATGTGTGTTTTTTTTTTTTCTTTTCTTTTTTGGTACTGGGATATTGCACCCAGGATGTTGCACTTGCTAGGCAAGTGCTTTGCCAATGACTACATCCCATCCCTCTCCCCCCACTGCTTTTTTTTTGGTAAAAAATATAGCACCTACAATCCTAGCTACTCAGGAGGCTGAAATCTAAGGATCACTGTTCAAAGGAAGGAAGCCATGAGACTCTTTTTTTTTTCTTTTTTGGTCGGTCGTGAGGCTTGAACTCTGGGTTTGGGCACTGTCTCTGTGCTCTTCAGCTAAAGGCGAGGGCTCTACCACTTGAGCCACAGTGCCACTTCTGGTTTTTTAGTGGTTTATTGGAGATAAGAGTCTTCAAGGACTTTCCTGCCCGGGCTGGCTTTGAACCGTGATCTTCAGATCTCAGCCTCCTGAGTAACTAGGATTACAGGCGTGAGCCACTGGCGCCTGTGCCATGAGACTCTTATCACCAATGAACCACCAAAAAGTTGGAATTAGAGCTGTAGCTTAAGTGGTAGACTAGCGTTGAGCAAAAAAGCTCTGGTAGGCCTTGAAATCAAGTCCCAGGACTAGCATCAAAATAAAGAGATAACATTATATGTATTATTCTGAGAGCATCTTTTTGTTCCTTATTAAATATGTCTTAGGAGATTTTTCCATGATAGTAAAGGTACAACTTACTGTTTTGTTTTATTTTGTTTTTAGTGCTAGTTCTGGACTTGAACTCAGGGCCTAGGCACTGTCCCTGAGTCTTTTTGCTCAAGACTAGTTAATGCTCTACCACTTGAGCCACAGCTTTCCTTCTATCTTCTTGATGGTTGGAGAGAACAGTCTCATGGACTTTCCTACCTGGACTGGCTTCTTTTTTTTGGGGGGGGGATTTTTTTTTATTGTGAAAATACCATACAGAGGGGTTACAATTACATGGGTAAGATAATAAGTACATTTTTTTTGGCGGGGGGGCTCCAGTTGTAGGGCCTGAACTCTGGGCCTGGGCACTGTCCCTCAGCTCTTCAGCTCAAGGCTAGCGTTCTACCACATGAACCACAGCGCCACTTCTGGCTCTTTTTCTTTTTGCTTATGTGGTGCTGAGGAATCGAACCCAGGGCCTCATGCATGCAAGGCAAGCGCTCTACCACTGAGCCACCTTCCCAGTCCCATGAGTACATTTCTTATCAAGCATTGTTGACTATTCCTTTGTTTCCCCTTCCCATCCCTTCCTATCTCCCCAGCTCCTCCCAGCACCCCTATACCCTCCCCTCCCCTCCCCCCACCCCGACTGGCTTTGAACTGTGATCCTCAGATCTCAGCCTCTTGAATAGCTAGGATTATAGGCATGAGCCACTGGTGCTCAGCTAATCATTTGGCAAAAATGCCAGTTTAGTGAACAAATGAAAGCTATACTTATTTCATGCTTCATTTTCCTGATGACTAGTGTTGTCGGTCATCTTTTCATTCATTATCTGTGTATTTGTTCATCAGTGACTTCTGTGTTGTGCTGTACCTTATTTCAAGGATATGGCTACTGGCCTCTCAGAACTAATGTGGGTGTTTATAGTTAGAGAAAAGCCTAAGGAATTTTATAATGAAAGTTTTATTATTGAAAAATGAATATATATATATATATATATATATATATATATATATATATATATAGTTTATAACCCAAAATACAGAAGAGAGAGCCTAACAAAATCTTCGTGGCTGACAGCAAGGATTTAAGACTTAGTTTGAGAAATGTTGCTTCATGTCATAGAAAAGCTTCTTGCTGCCATCCCTTGGGTGGCATCAGACAGAATAAAGTCATACTGTGAGCATCTTTTGCCTACGACCTCACAGAAGTAGTGGCCAACATGCTATCACTCTAATACTGTCTTTCTTACCATTGTCTTATATACCAGGGCTTTAACACAGGATCTTGAGCCGTTGCTCGGCTTCCTTGATCATGGTTGTCATTTTAGCACTTGAGCCATGCCTCCAGCCTGGTGTTTTGTTGGTTAGTTGGAGGTGGAATCTTGAGAACTTTTCTGCCTTGACTGGCATCACACTCAGCCTTCTGAGTCACTAGGATTATAGCCATCAGCCTCGTGGCCCATGTAGTATGTCCTTTCTGTATTGTTATCAACTGCTATTTCCTAATGCTGTGAATGTCCTGTACACCAAGAATGAGAAAACATAAGCCTCCACACTCAGTCTCTGATGCTTCCATTCCAGGTGAAGGTCGTAAATGAAGAACTCTATCGGAAGACTCTGGAGGAAATTGTTCGCTCCCTGGATAAAATGGAAAACGCCAACATTCCTTCTGTGTCCCTTTCCAAGCGTGAGGTAGGATGGATATGTTTAGAATATTAGCATTGAGCACTTTTATTCCTACAACTTAAATCTCCTTATCTACTACGATTGGTTTCTGGTCTTTCTTGAGGGACTGCTTCTAGATAGAGTGAGGGTGATAATGCTCACTGGAGAAAGAGAGCTTGTTTTGTCTTCTAAACTGGAAGATAATCCAGATGTGCTCCTAGATTTCAGAACAACAGGTGTGTGTTCTTGCAGTGGATTTGTGTTCCTACTGATGCTTCTCTTGAGATTAAAAAGATTCTTCGGGTTATACAGATAACTGGTCTTCAGTGGTAATGGAACTCTATTAGGTAAATACCTGAAGCAGAAACATTTCAAAGAAATGGTCCTTTGTTTTCTTCCTTGTTTGGGGTATGTGGATAAGTAGCTGTATGAAAGTATCAGGGCACTGGTTCTGACTGATCTTTGCTTGTTCCCAGTTCTGTTTTCAGAATGTGAAGTACATGCAATTACAAGTAGAATCCTTTACAATTCATAATGGACAAGTACCCTGTCAGTTTGAATTTATCAACAAGCCTGATGAAGAATCTTACTGTAAACAATGGCTTAGTGCCAACCCCAGCAGAGGATTCCTCCTGCCAGGTGAGGCCTCTCTTTCTTAGGTTTCTGGTTTCTAGTCTGAGGAATGCCTACCCTGTCTTGGTTCATTCTCTTAAAATAACTTCTTCTGAGCATTTTTGTTCTCTGCCTGAAACTTAAAAAACAAAAAACCTTATAGCTGAACATATCCATAATAAAGTATATAATGGTGAGGGACATGTGTTCAGTTTCAGAAACATTTTTAGTTATTTGTATGCTCCTTAATTTCACAGGAAGAGAAGACATAGATTACTGTAAAACAGGTGCTGGTATAAGGGAGCCATTTCCCCTATCTTAGCATAATCAACCTCAATGATCTGCTCTTGTGAAAGAGAAATTGAGCAGTACCATATCTATCCTCTGGCTTCTCCTTTCAGACTATATGAGGTGTGGTGAGGCAGAGATTTGTGAATAGTTCCCAGGCTGAAGGTCCACTGGCTCAGAATCTCTATCTTACCTGGTTTAGGAAAGGCTGTGTGTGTGTGTGTGTGTGTGTGTGTGTGTGTGTGTGTGTGTCTGCGTGTGTGTGTGTGTGTGTGTGTCTGCGTGTGTGTGTCTGTGTGTGTGTCTGTGTGTGTGTCAGTCATGAGGCTTGAATTCTAGGCCTCGGTGCTGTGCCTCAGCTCTTCAGCTCAAGGCAAGCACTCTACCACTTGAGCCACAGTGCCACTTCCAGTTTTCTGGTGGTTAATTGGAGATAAGAGTCTCATGGCCGGGCACCGGTGGCTCACACCTGTAATCCTAGCTACTCAGGAGGCTGAGATCTGAGGATCGTGGTTCAAAGCCATCCCGGGCAAGAAAGATCATGAGACTCCTATCTCCAACAAACCACTAGAAAACCGGAAGTGGCGCTGTAGCTCAAGTGGTAGAGCGCTCACCTTGAGCTAAATGAGGGACAGCACCCAGGCCCATAGTTCAAGCCCCATGACCAAAAAAAAAAAAAAAAAAGTCTCATGGACTTTCCTGCCCAGGCTGGCTTTGAACCACAATCCTCAGATCTCAACCTCCCGAGTAGCTAGGATTACTGGCATGAACCACTGGTGCCCAGCTTAGGAAAGGCTTTTTTTTTTTTTTTTTTTGGGGGGGGGGGGGTCCAGTCATGGGCCCTGAACTCTGGGCCTGGGCACTGTCCCTCAGCTCTTCAGCTCAAGGCTAGCGCTCTACCAATTGAGCCACAGCGCCACTTCCGGCTTTTTTCTTTTTGCTTATGTGGTGCTGAGGAATCGAACCCAGGGCCTCATGCATGCAAGGCAAGCGCTCTACCACTGAGCCACCTTCCCAGCCCAGGAAAGGCTTTTTGATCCGGGCCTTCTTATTGACTTAATACTTCTAACTTCGGTTATACTACTTACTACTGAATTTTTTTCTTTTTCCTCTTGCTCTCTCTCCCTCTCTCTCTCCCCTCCCCCCCTTTCCTTTTGGTAATACTAGGAATTGAATTCCTAGTTTTACATTTTTTTTTCCTTTTTGTTTCTGTTTTTTTTTTTTTTGGCCAGTCCTGGGGCTTGAACTCAGGGCCTGGGCACTGTCCCTGAGGATCTTTGCTCAAGGCTAACATGCTACCATTTGAACCTCAATGCCAATTTCTGGCCTTTTCTGTTTATGTGGTACCAAGAAATTGAATGCAGGGCATGGTGCATGCTAGGCAAGCACTCTACTACTAAGCCATGTTTCTGGCCCCATAGCTTTACATTTTCTAGGCAAGTGCTCTTCCACTTGAGCCGTGAATACAGTAGTACCTGAATGTTTTAGCACTGGTTTATCAAACAGTTTCTGTTGTCTTCATTTTCGTAGTTGGGCTATAAACTTATTGCAACTAGTTAGTGCTAAGCATATAGATACTTGTTGGTTAGTATAGACTTTATTATCTTTTCCTAACCCTTATTCTCTTCCTTCTTCTTTCCTCTTAGTTTCTCCCTTGCCAACGTTACTTTTCTTTTAATTTTTTTTTTCTGTAGATTCTGTCATTGTGATTGAATTGGAGCTCTTTGTAAATAAGACCACGGCCACAAAACTCAACTCAGGTGAAGATAAAATTGAGGATATTCTGGTTTTGCACTTGGACAGGGGAAAGGATTACTTTTTGTCCGTGTCTGGGAACTACCTACCCAGCTGTTTCGGATCTCCCATTCATACATTGTGCTGCATGAGAGAGCCAATCTTAGATCTACCACTTGAAACTGTTAGTGAGCTGGTAAGTTTCAAACTACAGGGAAACATCTAGTTCTATGTAGCAACCTAGCCAGTTAAACAAGATATTCCTGTACTTGCTTCCAACATACTTAAGTTTCTTCAACTTTTTAGAGCTTTCTTAGTGTTTCAGGTATATACTGCTGTGTAATAAGCACCCCCAAATTAAAATAATAGTGAGTTGTTTTTCATGACTGTTGTTTTCTTCTGCTGGTCTTACCTAGGCTTACTTGGTTTTTTGTTTTGTTTTCAGTGCTAGTACCAGGGCTTGCAAGGCCTTGCATTCTCACTGGGCTTTTTCACTTACAGCTGGTACTCTACCACTTGAGCCATACCTTCAGTATAGCTTTTTGTTTTTTGGGTCCGGTCGTGGGGCTTGAACTCTGGACCTGGGCACTGTCCCTCAGCTCTTCAGCTCAAGGCTAGCGCTCTACCACTTGAGCCACAGCGCCACTTCTGGCTTTTTTCTTTTTGCTTATGTGGTGCTGAGGAATCGAACCCAGGGCCTCAGGCATGCAAGGCAAGCGCTCTACCACTGAGCCACCTTCCCAGCCTCCAGTACAGTTTTTTTTTTTTTTTTTTTTTTTTTTTTTGATTAGTCGGAGCTAGTTTCTTGGGCTTTTCTGCCCCAGCTGGGTTTGCATTTTTTGTTGTTCTTGTTGGTAATGGGGCTTGAACTCTGGGCATGGGTGCTGTCCCTCAGCTCTTCAGCTCAGAGCTAGCACTCTACTACTTGAGCCACAGTGTTACTTCCAGTTTTCTGAGTGATTTATTGGAGATAACAGCCTCATGAACTTTCTGTCTGGGCTGGGTCTGAACTGTGATCTTCAGAACTCAGCCTCCTGAGCAGCTAGGATTACAGGTGTGAGCCACCAGTGCCTGACTGAGTTTCAATTTTGATCTTCACATCTTAGCTTCCTGAGGAGCTAGGACTGTAGGATTGAGCTACTAGTGTCAGCAATTTGGTTTTCTTTGTTTTGTTTTTGCTGTTGGTATCAAGGTTTGAAATCAGGGTCTTGCACTTGTACTCAGCTTGCTTGCTGTGCTGGTGCTCTACAACTTAAGCCATGTCTCCACCTCAACTTACTTGTGTATTGTAGTCAGGTGGTGACTGTAATGGCATGTTTCTGTATTGGCTGCTTTCTGGGCCTCTCTCTGCTCATGGACTCTTGTCTTTCAGGATGTGAGTTTGGGTTTCTATATATGGCAGTAAGAGCCTGAGAGCAGTAGCTAAGGTCTTTGGTAGCACAAGCTCCAAAACTCCAGTATCATCACTTCTGCAATATTATATGGGTATGCGGGTCAGAGAGAGTGATAAAGCCAACTTATGTTGGGGGAGACAACACTTCTCTAAGGGAACAGCTATGCAATGCAACTATTTTTCAGTTTTTCACACCCAGGGCTTGTCGTAGTTCATTAGGTTGTTGTAACAGAATACCATAGGCTCTGGGTTTATGAACAACAGAAATTTACTACTCACAGTTCTGGAGGCTGAGAAATTCAAGACATTTAGTGTGTGGTGAGGACCCACTTTCTTGGCTCACAGATAGCCCTCTTTTCGCTGTGTTGTCCTCACTTAGTAGGAGTGAGGACTTCTCTCTTACCTCTCATAAGAGCACTAATTCCATTCATGGGTGCACAGCCCTTATGAACTAACCACCTTGGTGATTAGGTTTCAACATAGGATTTTGAGGGTGAGTAGCACATGTATAGGAACAGCCATGGATTGTAAAATAATGAAAGTTCACAAGATTATGCTATTATTAGTTTTTTTTTTAATCCCTTAGTAGGTTACCCTAAACTAAAATTGCTTCAATCTAAAGAAGTTCCTGTGGAGACAATTCAAATATCTGGGGAACTAGTTTGGGGCAGATTTATGGTAATTTGCTGATTTCATTTTTTTTCCCCAATGCACGTTTTCATTTAGAGACTCTTGGTTTGTCACAAATCACATGAGTTGGATCTCAGATCTTTGGAGTGCCAAGCATGATATTTTTTCCTCTCTAGACCACCACCCTCTTCTTTGGTTCTAATAGGGGAATTCTAGAACAGTGTTTTTGTTGTTTTTTTACCCCTAAGAAGATGGTTCATATTTGATCTGACTCTTTGAAACTATTTGCTATAACTCTCTCCCTGGTCTCAAAAATCACCTTTTTATCCCACGTAACTTCATTTTTGTTTTTCCTCAAGGCTAACACTGTACCACTTGAGCCACAGCTCCATCCAGCTTTTTGGTGGTTAATTAGAGATGAGCATCTCATACACATTCCTCCCTGGGCTGGTTTCAAACCATCCTCTTGAGTAGCTAGGGTTATAGGTTTGAGCTACCAGCGCCTGGCTCTGACTTCATTTTTGTTTCTGGAATGTTTGGTTAGGGGCACTGCTTCCCTTCTTCCATAGGTTTACAGTCCCCATATCACTCATTCTCCTGAACCCAGCTTGGTAGAAGTTCTACCAATAGGCCATCTTGTCCTGATTTTTCTTTTTTTCCATTAGACTCTAATGCCAATATGGACAGAAGATGACGTGAGCCAGCTGCAGAGCCCCATGGAAATCCCCAAAGAACTCTGGATGATGGTTGATTACCTATACCGAAATGCTATCCAGCAGGTAGGTTGTGTTTAAATTGTATTAAAGGCCTCATTGCCTTGAGAGAGACCATCAGCCCCAAGAACCTTTTACATTGAAAGCCTTTACTCCCAGAAACTGTGGAAAGCTGTTTTTCCTCCAGCTGTTCCTCCTCCAGAGGTCTTGTGCCATGTTTTGTACCTCCTCCAGAACTGCTGTTACATGTGGAACTTGATCTTGATTTCCCCCAAGGGAACGTAGCCTTGAATAGGACAGCCTTCTTAGCACAGTATGTTCCTTCCCCACGCCTCTGGGGTCCCCCAGTCAGAAAGCCATCTGGAAGTCTCCTGGGATGTCATCCTGCTGTCCTTTGCAGGCATTCTCACTAGCTTCTGGGAATGGGAGGAGCTAACTTGTTTAGGCAGAGGCAGAGGACCAGATGGAACCCATGAATCTAGAGGCCTGATCTTAGAGTGATTTGTGCAAGTTTCATGGAGCCAATTGATCAATTTGACTAACCTGTTTGTAGGTTCCCTGGAGATCTTTACAGAGTATGATACCATGGCAACATTTTTTTTCCCCAGCCCTCATAAATGTTAGGCCAGTGCTCTCCATTAAGCTACACCCTTAGCTTCCAGCCCAGCAACATATGTTCTTATGATGTTCTGTTTTCACGTTTTTCCACCCTCACATTATTGGTGCTGGAATGTGCCAAGCTCTGTTCTAAGTGTTTATTACCAAATTGCTCCATTTAATTCTCATAGTGGGTCTTGGATGAAGAAACAAATTTCCAGAAAGGTAAAGGATCCCACAGTTGATAAATGGGAAGAGGTGGGAATCTGACTTAAGAGATCAAACCTTGGGCTGGGAAGGTGGCTCAGTGGTAGAGCGCTTGCCTTGCATGCATGAGGCCCTGGGTTCGATTCCTCAGCACCACATAAGCAAAAAGAAAAAAGCCGGAAGTGGCGCTGTGGCTCAAGTGGTAGAGTGCTAGCCTTGAGCTGAAGAGCTGAGGGACAGCGCCCAGGCCCAGAGTTCAGGCCCCACAACCAGACACCTCCCCCCCCCCAAAAAAAAAAAAAGAGATCAAACCTTTTTCTTTTTTTTTGTTGGTTGTGGGTCCTGAATTCTAGCTAGCCCTAGGCGCTGTCCCTCAGCATTTCAGCTCAAGGCTAGCACTCTTCCATTTGAGCCACAGCATCACTTCCAGCTTTTTCTGCTTAGTGTGGTACTGAGGAATCAAACCCAGGGCATTATGTGTGCAAGGCAAGCCCTCTACCACTGAGCCACCTTCCCATCCCTCAGACATTTTTCTTATTGTTTTTATAGTGCTGGGGATCCAACCCAGGGCCTCACATCTGCTAGGCAAGTGAATTACATCCCTAGGTCCCAGAATTCATATTTTTAAGTACTGTGCTCTTCTACCTTCTCTGTAGAGTTCCTTTCAAATGCAAATTGTGATCAGTACATATACTAGTGTTGTTATCAACAGAGTTACATGATTTTAAGTCACTTTATAAAACAAGTGAATATAAAATATCTAAAACCAATGAAAATAACTTTCATAAACCTTGTTTGCACATAAAGCTGAGATTCTTTTCTGGCTTTCTCTTTTTTCCATCTTTGTTGTGTGTGTGTTTATGTGTGTGTGCTGGTTCTGGAGCTGGTTCTGAACTCAAGAGCCTAGGTGCTGTCCCCGAACTACTACTTTTTTTTTTTTTTTTTGGTTGGTCGTGGGCCTTGAACTCTGGTCTTGGGCACTGTCCTTGCATTCTTCAGCTCAAGGCAAGCCCTCTACTGCTTGAGCCACAGAGGCACTTCCAGTCCCTGAACTTTTTTGCTCAAGACTAATGCTCTACCACTTGAGTGACAGCTCTACTTCTGGCTTTTTTGGGTTCTTAATTGTAGATAAGAGTTTCCTGGACTTTCCTGCATAGGCTGGCTTTGAACCACAGTCCTCAGATCTTGGCCTCCTGAGTAGCTAGGATTATAAGCATGAATCACTGGTCTCCAGCTTTATTTTTTTTTAATGCTGTGATCATTTATACCTAGACACTTTTACAAAATATTTATGGTTTGACTTTATTTCAATTAAAATGACATGTCAAAGGATATGGTTTCTTTAGATACTGTACAGAGGGGTTACAGTTTCATGAGTAAGGTAATGAGTACATTTCCTATTGAGCATTGTTACCCCCTCCTTTGTTTTTCCCCTACTATCCCTTCCACACACACAGTTTTTTTTTTTTTTTTGGTCCGGTCGTGGGGCCTGAACTCTGAGCCTGGGCACTGTCCCTCAGCTCTTCAGCTCAAGGCTAGCACTCTACCACTTGAGCCACAGCACTTCTTCCAGCTTTTTTCTTTTTGCTTATGTGGTGCTGAGGAATCGAACCCAGGGCCTCATGCATGCAAGGCAAGCGCTCTACCACTGAGCTATCTTCCCAGCCCCCCCCCCCTTTTTTTTTTGAGTATGTTACTGGGGTCTAAACTCAGGAACTTATGCTGGTTAGACAGGTACTCTGCCACTTGAGTCCCACCTCACCTCTGGCCATGCATTTTATATTTTCTTTTTTTCTGTTTAATCTCTCAGCACTACAGGAAAGATCAACTGCTTCTCAGTTTTCTTCTTGTGTTGAATCTCGTTTTGTGTGTGCCCTACCAATAGTTATGTAATAGATGCTTAATGATCTATTATAAAAGCATGTCTGAGAAGTCCTGCAAGATGGAATAACCTCATCAGCCTCAGTCATTGTCTGCTAGGTTGATTCAAATGTTTCACTGCTGCTACTTTTTTGCACTATGGTCATATTGCTAAATGGGAAATTATTGTCACTTTTCTGAGAAAATAATTGTTTTGTGATTTTCTTTCCTTTTGCAGGAAGATCTGTTTCAGCAGCCAGGCTTGAGGTTGGAATTTGAACATATCAGGGACTGTTTGGATAAAGGAACAATCGATAATCTTTGTATCCTTCAGGCATGTGTGTGTGTCTGTGTGTCTGTGTTTGTGAAAAGGGAAAGAAGAATCTTTCAAAATGCAGTCTCATATTGTGTCCTCAGCTAACATCTTTTTTTCTTAAAGTTTGCATAGAGAAGACTTGGCAGTTTTAAGCAACCCATATAGCAAGAACTCAGGAGGGTCTGGCTCAGCTGAAAAACAGCATGGTCCCTTTGAGATACTGGGCTGGCATCCCAGCTCTGTGGAGGGCCTGACTGAACAAGGCCGCACTTCTGGCATGTGCTTGCCCCTAGGCCTTCTAGCCATGGGCATCATCATCATCTGTTCCTTAACAATAGGCCAAAAGCTGCTAGCAACCATTCAGTAGCTGAAGCCTTGCTGCTTTTCCTGGAGAGTCTGCCAGAGCCCGTCATCTGTTTCAGCGCCTACCATAATTGCTTGGAGTGTTCTGGCAGTTACACAGCGAGTAAGCAGGTGAGGGGAACCACTTAGCATCAGCATACACATGTTACCAGCCCCAGGCAATGACACCTGACAATAAAGTGGGCACAGTCCCTCAAGTGCAAGTCTTAGAAACTGAATGCCCTATCTTTCCTTCTCAAACCTGTTCTTCCTCTCATGTCCCTTTTTCTTTTAATAGCATCACCCTTAATTTTAGTGACTCAACCCCGAAACCTGAGTCATTTCTGACTCCTCCCCTGTCCTTATCTCCCATGTGCCCAGTCCCATTGATCTATAACTTACCCTCTTTCTTCTGGTCTCTCCTTATCCTGTTCTCCTTCAGCTTTTGTGTGTGTGTGTGTGTGTGTGTGTCAATACTGAGGTTTTAACTTAGAACCTTGCATTTACTAGACTAGAGCACCACAATGGAACCGTGTGTGTGTGTGTGTGTGTGTGTGTGTGTGTGGCAATACTGAGGTTTTAACTTAGAACCTTGCATTTACTAGACTAGAGCACCACAATGGAACCATGACCACAATGGAACCGTGTGTGTGTGTGTGTGTGTGTGTGTGTGTGTGTGTGTGTGTGTGTGTGTGTGTGTGTGGCAATACTGAGGTTTTAACTTAGAACCTTGCATTTACTAGACTAGAGCACCACAATGGAACCATGCCTAGCCTGCTTTTTTGCTGGTTACATTGGACTTTTCTGCCCAGGCTGGCCTTAAATTTTGATTCTAGAGAGCTCAGCCTCCAAGGATTATAGGTGTTAGCCACTGTCACCTCCCTTAATCATTTATTTTGAATGTTACCATCATATTGTATATTCTAAAACTCTTTGTCATATTGTCTAAAAAATACACTTGGCTTTTCATTTTGAATTAACTTTTGTGTGTATACTGATACTGGGGCCTGAATTCAGGGCCTGGTACTTTTGCTAAGGTTTTTTGCTCAAGGCAGTACTCTACCACTTGAACCACATCTCCACTTCCAACTTTTTGCTAGTTAACTAGGTATGAGTCTCAGGTTGGGAATGTGGTTTAGTGGTAGAGTGCTTGCCTTGCATGCATGGAGCCCTGGTTCTGATTCATCAGAATTAACTTTTGTGTGTATACTGATACTGGGGCCTGAATTCAGGGCCTGGTACTTTTGCTAAGGTTTTTTGCTCAAGGCAGTACTCTACCACTTGAACCACATCTCCACTTCCAACTTTTTGCTAGTTAACTAGGTATGAGTCTCAGGTTGGGAATGTGGTTTAGTGGTAGAGTGCTTGCCTTGCATGCATGGAGCCCTGGTTCTGATTCATCAGTGTCACCTAAACAGAAAAGGCTGGAAGTGGCAATGTAACTGAAGTGGTAGAATACTAGCCTTGAGCAAAAGAAGCTCAGGGACAGTTCCCAGGCCCTAAGTTTAAGCCCCAGGACTGGCAAAAAAAAAGTCCTATCTTTCTGGGCTGACTCTGAATCTTTTTTTTTTTTTTTTTGGGTCCCGTTGTAGGGCCTGAACTCTGGGTTTGGGCGCTGTCACTCAGCTCTTCAGCTCAAGGCTAGCGCTCTACCACTTGAGCCACAACACCACTTCTGGCTTTTTTCTTTTTGCTTATGTGGTGCTGAGGAATCGAACCCAGGGCTTCATGAATGCAAGGCAAGCGCTGTACCACTGAGCTACCTTCCCAGCCCCTGACTCTGAATCTTGATCCTCAGATTTTAGCCTCTTTGAGTAGCTAGGATTGCAGGTGTGAGCCACCAACATCTGGCACAATTATTTTCTTAAATATTCAAGACTTCCCATGATTTCACCTAGTGGTTCATTTATATAACAGATATTGACAGAATAATCTAAAACACTTGCCAATAATTCAAGTTCCAGGAACTTAGCTGACAATCAGTGAATGAAAATGTCTTTTGGAATGTATTTTGTTCAAGTTTTCCAGTTGATCCCGATATGCAAATAGCTGTACTATTCATTGATTTCTAGCCTGAACAACCCTTCCATGCTTAATGGCTGTTAAGTGAGTTTGCTTCTGCCAAAAGTAATTTCTTAATAGTGTACTCTTTTCTGTTTGTCTTGCTGATTGCCTTCTCTTGATTTTTCATACTTTCTTGGCCCAGAACTCTCTAGACCTTACCTAGTAGTCTACTAGTCCAATTTTATATTACAAGACCCAACTGACATTGGGTCTGACATCTATTTCCTAAGTCTTCTGAGAACACAGAGTTAGAAGTCTGACCTTCAAATTCACATAGGGTTTGACCCTTGCTTCTCTTTTAGTATTTAATGCCAGGCAGTAAGTGGTTAAAGTTTTCTGTGCAGTCTTATTCATGCTCATATATTATATACTCAGTTCTTAGAATATAGCAGGCATCTTGGCAAATAATTGAGTGAACAAAAACGGGCAATCAGGCTGGGAAGGTGGTTCAGTGGTAGAGTGCTTGCCTTGCATGCATGAGGCCCTGAGTTCGATTCCTCAACACCACATAAGCAGAAAAAGCCAGAAGTGGCGCTGTGGCTCAAGTGGTAGAGCACTAGCCTTGAGCTGAAGAGCTGAGGGACAGTGCCCAGGCCCAGAGTTCAGGCCCCACGACCCACAGAACAAAAACAAAACAGTAAAGCCTGGTGCTGGTGGCTCACGTCTGTAATCCTAGCTACTAAGGAGACTGAGAGCTGAGGATCGCAGTTCAAAGCCAGCCAGGGCAGGAAAGTCCGTGACACACTTAACTCCAATAAATCACTCAGAAAACTGGAAGTGACACTGTGGCTCAAGTGGTAGAGCATTACCCTTGAGCTGAAGAGTGGAGAGACAGCGCCCAGGTCTAGAGTTCAAGCTCCACAACCAAAAAAAAAAAAAAAAAGGCAAATCCCACCTCTTCCTCTTTCAGGTCATTTCTACTCTTCCCAGATGCCATAAAAATGTCTTCAACTACTTGATGGCGTTTTTGCAAGAATTGCTGAAAAATTCAGCGAAAAATCATTTGGATGCGAATATTCTAGGTAAGTATCCAAGTGTTTACAGAAAGCACCTCTGCAAACAAATGGATTTATTCTGAGAAAGGAGGCTTTGCAGGGTTTCAGGTTATTGGCAGCAGAGCTTAAAATGTCAAGTTCTGGGGGCAAAAAATAATTTTTTTTAAGACAGGGTCTAGCTATATAGCTCAGGTTGATTTTGAACTCTTGATCCTGTTGCCTTAGCCTCCCAAATGCAGGATTACAGGTATGCATCACCACATCCAGCTCTGGGAAAAATTTATACTCAGTTTAGATGGGGGAATAGCTTAGTAATGGAATGCTTGCCTAGCATGTAACAACAAAATAGGTGTGTGTGTGAGAGAGAGAAAGAGAAAGAGAAAGAGACAGAGAAATAAAGGGTCTTGCTATGCAGTTTAGACAGACCTTAAACTCAACTATGTACCCTAGGCTGGCCTGGAATTTATAGTGTTGGGATTATAGCATACACCACTCCCCTATTTTTATTTATTTATTTATATATTTATTTATTTGGTCAGTTGTGGGGCTTAAACTCTAGGCTTGGGCACTATCCCTGCGCTCTTCAGCTCAAGGCGAGCGCTCTACTGCTTGAGCCATAGTGCCACTTCCGGTTTTTTAGTGGTTTATTGGAGATAAGAGTCTCTCGGACTTTCCTGCCCGGGCTGGCTTTGAACCGAGATCCTGAGATCTCAATCTCCTCAGTAGCTAGGATTCCAGGCATGAGCCACCGGCACCTGGCCCACTCCCCTATTTTTGAAACCAGAAATTATTTCTAACAACATAAAAGTAAGTAGTATTTTCTTTATTTCCACACACAGCAAGCATATTTGGCAGCTTACTGCTTCGAAACCCAACTGGTCATCCAAAGCTTGAAATCACAGAGAAGAAAAAAGCTCAAGAGTTTATTCATCAGTTTCTCTCCAACCCACTCTGAGCCTCTCTCATCTCCAGTTTCATTCAAGGCAGCCAGTTGCTAGCCCTACCTGTTTCAGCTCAAGAGATGTCTGTCTTGGGATGAAACAAAGCCACCTGGAAGCAAGAATAGTGGCTGTCTCTTCCAGATGCTACACCTACCCATTGCTAGTGCTTGGGGTTAGCATACCCTATGCTGAGTTGTGAAAACATGGGGGAATTCCACCTTGGTAAAACTGACATTTGATGTTCAACTTTAGTTATTTAACGCAAAATAGATTTCTATTCATTTTTTTATTTAAAATTTTTTTATAGAACTGTTTTTTTTGCTCACTCAACCTGCCTCGAGGGCAGTCATTGCCTTCCTACAACCTGGGCTGAACTTGTGATCAGATATTTGGACAAACTTGGAAGTCCCAAGGGGAGAATGAGTTGGACAGTAAGAATGCTCCTGGGTAAACAACCCTGAGCTACCACAGATGCTTCCACTGCTCAATGTGTATATAGGAACTCTTACCCCCTTCCAACTTAGATGTGGCTAGGTAACTCTGAGGCTGGCCACTCAGCCTTTGAGAATACAGTGGCTTAGGAAACCAGGTTCTGGTGAGTCAGATGGATTTTTCTGGGCCTGCAAATCCTCCGAGCTCTTTATAATGTATCCCTTCTTTCATAGTCTAATATATTTTAATGATAAATACATTTTTAACAGTTGTTCCTGTGCATGTTTTGTTTTTCTCACTTAGCTATTGACTTGTGAACCTTCGTAGCTTAATACTGAGACAGCTAAGCCAGTCAGGGCCCAAGAAGGCATATAGTCAACATTATCCACATTTCCAAGCAAGAGTTGGTCAAATGGCGTTAATCCCCTCTCGAGATTGTCCTACTCTTTTTTCACTTTTTTTTTTTTTTGCCAGTCTTGGGGCTTAAACTCAGGGCCTGGACGCTGTGCATAATCTTTTGTGCATGGCTAGTGCTCTACCATTTGAGCCACAGCCCCACTTCTGGCTTTCTGGAGGTTAGTTGGAAATAAGAGTCCACGAACTCCCAGCCCAAGCTAAGAACTGCGATCCTCAGATCTCAGCCTCTTGAATAGCTAGGATTTACAGGCATGAGCCACCACAGCGCCTGGACCCACTCGAGTATTCCAGAAAAGTACCTCAAGGAGAAAACAGGCAGTGGCTGCAGAGAGGGTCCAATAGCTATACTTCACAGGCATCTAGAAAAGACTGGGACATAATAAGAGGTACAGACAAAATCGTACCCAGGGCGCCAGTGCCACTACTTGGCAGGGTAATGGAGGCTGGGCGCGGGGTAAGAGCGGGCAGTGGGAGCGAGTGGCCAGTAGGTGGCGTTCGCTGAAACCCTTAAGGGAGAAAAGTTGATTTGAGACCGCCGAAGTGAGCTCGAGTGTGAGTAGATCGGAAACCGTCCACCAAAGGGTGAAAAGGGAAGAGGCGGCCGCTTCCTCTCGGGCAGGGCCAAGAATTCTCCTAACTCGGCCTCTTTGGTCCACTTTTCCTTTTCTGACCGAGTTAACTTAGATGGGCGACAAGGCGGCGCTGGTGGGGTAGAATAAGTCCGGAAAGCTCGCCCCCTGCTGGTTCAAGCCGGGCGTCCCCACTTCGGGTTGCAATAAGTGTGCAAACGGGGCGGAGAGTATTTCGAACTCGTGGCTGGGGATGCCGCTGCTACCAGGAGCCCGGAACAGCGCGTTAACGCTCCGGACACTTCCCCGCGACGCCTCCGCGGCCCCGCTCCGCCCCGCTCCTCCCGCTCGCCCATTGGAGGCGAGCACTCAGCTCCCAGATAGGAGCACCAATCAGAAGCGCCGGAGAGAATCGTGCCGCTGTCCTCTCCTTCCTCCGGAAAGAGGAAGCGGAAGTGACGGCGGGGAAAGGTGGGGGCAATCATGGTGCCGCTGGGGAGGGGAGAAGCTGCTGCTGCCGCCGCCGCCGCCGCCGCCGCCGCAGTTGCCGGGAGCCGCGGAGGTAAAAGGCGAAAACTAGACTCGGCTTGGGCTATGACTTCTCGGGGGGGCGCGGGACTTAGGCTTCCTCCTGACGCATTTCCCAGCGGAGACCTCGTTCCACTCTCCGTAGGGACCCCACCCCTCCTCCGTTTCCATGGGGATGGGCATCCAGCCCCCCTTCCCTGTTTCCATGGAGACCCGGACCCTGCCCCAGCTCGCCAGTCTTGTAGTCCGCTCCCCCCCTCCCGCCCCCAGCTTGTCTGCAGGTTTTGCTCTGTAGTCAGGGACTAGGGGCTGTCCCCGGCAGGCTCCTTACCTCAGTCTCTCTGGGGTGCTCGGCTCGCACTCCTTGGCCTCCCTCAGACCTGGTCTGGTTTGTCCCGGAAAGTTGGTCTTCGTATCGCCGCCGAAGGTGCGGGGCCAGCTCCGCGGGGCCCTGCTGTCCTCTCCTCTCTCCCGGCATCCGAATGTGCAGCCTTGGTATTGCGTAAGGCAGAGCTAGGGGTCGGGCGTGTTCCTCCCGGATTAGATCCCTTGACTTGTCCCTGGTAACAGAACGACTTCTCTGTCGGCCGCCTCACAACATCAGTGCTCACATCCCAACCCCGAGCCGAAGAGAAGGCGCAGAACCAGCTGCAAGTTAAAAGTGATATGCCGATTGTTTATAAAGTCTCTGTGCTGCCCAGCAAGCCCACATTTTGTAGAACCCGTGTGTTTGCTGGTGAAGGGAGAATCATTGGTACAAACCATGAAAGCTTCAAACTTGGTATTTTCCTCAAGGGAGTATATCTGCTTGTCTATCTGTCATTCATTTAGCTGACATTTCCTGAGCTCCTAGTGTCCCTGTACTATATTCCAGACATTCCCTAAGGACAAGAATAACTTCTGGTCCATGCCATATTATTTCAGGAGACAAAGTGATTTTCATTAGCTGTTCCTTGATAGGGATTAGCTCTTCACCTGAAGCAAAACTATTCTAGTAAGGGGGGGAAGACTTTCACGTTGTTCTGTTGTTTGCCAGGCATTTTATTTTATATACATTTTTTCTTTTGTTCCTCCTAACAATTTCTGAGAGAACAGGAATTACTAGTCTCACCATACATGTAATAAAAATGAGGCACAGGAAAAGTTACCCAAGTAAATAAGGAGCAGACACAGACAGGATTTGTAGGTGATTGACTGTATCCCAAGCCTTTCTCCTTCCACCATAGACTACAAGTGGCTATGTATGCCTTATGGTGTGATGTAGGGATATTTGAAAGGGATCTCCTTACTTTAAGGTTTATAGCCATTCAACCTTGAAGCACCCTCCTTTCTATTTGCTCCATTACCCTCTTCAAGTATTTTGTCCAATCTTGAAACTGGTTGACAGTAAAACACATTTAAAAGATCTTGTAGACTACTTATTCCTTCAGTTTTTGAAGAAAAAAAAAGCACGGCTTTCCCTTTAAAATTGTTTGATTGTATCAAAGTTAAAAATATTTCCAAAAAACATCTGGGCACCAGTGGTTCACACCTGACATCTGTAATCCTAGCTACTCAGGAGGCTAAGATCTGAGGATCACAGTTCGAAGCCAGCCTGGATAGGAAAGTTGTGAGACTCTTATCTCCAATAAGCCACCAGAAAACTGGAAGTGGCTCTGGGGTTCAAGTGGTAGAGCAAGTGGTAGAGCACTTGCTTTGAGTTGAAGAGCTGAGGGACAGCACCCAGACCCAGAGTTAAAGCCCCATACCCAACCAAAAAAAAAGTATTTCCAAATAAGTCAATTTTTCACTTGCTGTTTTAAATAAGAAGGGGAAAATGAATCCTAATGTTGCTAAGGTCAGTGTTTCTTGAGGTATGGCACTAATTCTGACTTTGTCTATTGCAGAAAGGTCATTACCTTTTCATTTCTCGAAACTGAGCTGAGCACCATTGAATCATGGGAGAACACAGTCCAGACGACAACATCATCTTCTTTAAGGCGGACGAAGATGACCTGACCCCCGATGACAAGATGCTCAGGTTTGTGGATGAAAATGGACTGGTGCCTTCCTCATCTGGAACTGTTTATGATAGGACCACTGTTCTTATTGAGCAGGACCCTGGCACTTTGGAGGATGAAGATGACGATGGACAGTGTGGAGAACACTTGCCTTTTCTGGTAGGGGGTGAAGAGGGCTTCCTAATAGACCAGGAAGCAATGTCCCAGGGTTACGTGCAACACATTATCTCACCAGATCAGATTCATTTGACTATAAACCCTGGTTCCACACCCATGCCAAGAAATATTGAAGGTGCAACCCTTACTCTGCAATCGGAATGTCCAGAAACGAAACGCAAAGAAGTAAGTAAATTGACTAGTGAGGGCCCAGTTAGGCTTTTGGGTAACTCTTTATCCAACACTTGCTGGCAGTTTCAACTGGGGAGTTAAGGAGTCCTGGGCTTAGAGCCGACTGTGATTTTTGCCTGTTAACAACACATGTACTTTGTGTTTTATGGTGACTGCTTACTAGATCTTTTGGATTGTATGGCCATATTGTAATTTATAAATACTAATTTGTAATATTTCACATTTTCCTCCCCTATCATGAATAAAATATAAATTACATTGAAGTAAATTTATGTTTATGATGCTGAAATAATTAAACTTGAATGTCTGATACTAAAATAACTAGATTTGGCTTATCTCTGGATTGTATGTAATTGATTTGTTTGGGAGATGAGTATCTTCTGGAATATATTAGTGAGTGCTTAGTGAATTGTGAAGGCTAGAGTTTATAATTCAGGCAAGAGATTGCAAATGAGTAGATCATCTGAATAAGTTGTTATATTCATATTTAGGTAATGTGAGTAAAGCATTTTACAAATTGTACTAGTAGAATAAAAGACATGGTTAGAGGTAGAGGTGATAGTTATCCAGGAATTATTACAGAAAATAGGTCACTGGTCGTTATAGTGTTGGGGATTAAATGTAAGAAGCTACCAAGCAGAAATAGGATAAATTATTTAAGGAAAAAAACCCAGAACCTTGGGGTTTGAACTCAGCCTTGAGCTTATTCCTCTTGCTTGTTCACAGCTGGCTCTCTACCAATTGAGCCACATATCCAGCTCTGCTTTTGCTGGTTATTTTATAGTTTCATGGACTTGTCTTCTGGGACTGGCTTTAAACATCCACTCTTCTTTAAATCTCAGCCTGCTGGATTGCTAGACATACTATTTTTTCAGCACCCAACAGAAGAAAACTCTCACAAAAACCTATGTTGCTGTTATTAAGGTCTTGGAATTACATATGGCGTATGCATGACATTTGGCCTTTTCTAGCATTAACCCAGAGCTAGAAAAACCTTAAATCTTGTACTACTTCCCATGGTGTGCAAGAATCCCTCTCTACAGCCTGTTTGATGTATCATGGTCTATGCTTGAACAGCTCCAAAAGGACATCGTGGCTCAATGTAATACACTGTTGGGCCACTCTGATTGTTAGAAAGCTTTTGGTTTATATAGAGCCAAATCTGCCCCCTTCAGGCACAGCTTTCTAGTTCTAGTTCTCCCACTACCAGTCCCACAATTTTCTTAAAGATCCTGAGTTCTCTTTTATCTGACCACTTCCATTTAGTTAAATATTCCTCTTAGGATATTTTCCTCCAGTGTCCCATTGGCCTGGTCACCTTTAATTGAATGAATTCTAGTTTTCCAAGTCCCTTTAGAATTTAGAGTTGAGTACAATCTCACAAGTGTGAGTCAATAGTATTGAGTACCCTGGGGCTTTATCTTTTAATCTGGACACTGTACTACAATTGCTGGGTAGTGTATGTTTTATTAGCAACATCATCTTTCTGTCACCTTGAACCTGGAAACTTCCAGAATAGTGGCTCTCAACTGGGGGTAATATTTTCCCTCAGAAGACATTTAGTAATGTCTGGAGACACTTGTTTGTCGCATAGGGGAGTTGTTCCAGGAATATAGTGGATAGAGACTGAAGATTCTACTGAATATTTTACAATATACAGGGAACTCTCTGTAGCAGTTAGCTGGCCCTAAATGTTAATAGTGCTGGCTGGGATTGATAAACTTTTCCATGTTAGTGTCTTGAGCATACTGTCAAGTCTTGGGCAGTTGAATACGAGTCATATGTTGGCCTTAAGAATACCTCCCTAGCCAGGCTCAGTGCCTCACAATTGTAATCCTAGCTACTCAGAAGGCTGAGATCTGAGGCTCATAATTCAAAGTTAGACTGTGCCAACAAATCGGAGAGGCTATTATCTCCAATTAACCAACAAAAAGCTGGAACTGGAGGTGTATGGCTCAAGTAGTAGAGTACCAGCTCTGAACAACAACAACAAAAAAGCCAATTGAGAGTCTGAGCCCTAAATTCAAGCCTGAGTACCTGTGACAAAAGAATATCTCCATACTAAATATTATTATGTTGATTTCCACCCAGTATTTGAGCTTATATAGGATGTTTCAATTAAGCTAACTTTTTCTTTTTTTTCCTGCTGGTCATGGGGCCTGAACTCTTGGCCTGGGCACTGTCCCTCAGCTCTTCAGCTCAAGGCTAGCACTCTACTACTTGAGCCATAGCACCACTTCCAGCCTTTTCTGCTTATGTGATGCTGAAGAATTGAACCCAGGGCCTCATGCATGCAAGGCAAGCACTCTACCACTGAGCCACCTTCCCAGCCCCTCAGTAAACATTTATAAAGCAAGGTGCTTTTATGCTCTGTGAGGATGGGGATGCAGATTGACAGTTTACAGAAGTAGAAATATTTGTATGACAATGATGTGGGTTGGTGCAAATTCTACACTGAGAACACAGAAGCTAGCTGTCAACATCAGAAGCAGAGACACATCCTTCTGAGAGATGGGAATGGCAGACACTAAGAAATGATATGAAACATAGGCCATCTTAGGGAATTGCCTATTACCTGTTAGAATAGAGCTCTGTATTTTTATTTTTTGTAAAAAGCTAAATCGTAAATATTCTAAGCTCTGTGATCTCTGTTATAACTACTTAGCTTTTCTGCTATAGCACCCATGCAGTCATAGATAATGTTCAAGTGGGGTGGAGATAATGCTCTGTGGTAGGGCATTTGCCTAGCAAGCAAGAGTCACAGGTTTGGAAGTGTAGCACTGGGATAAAACAAAACAAAAAGATAGTGGTGAGTGATATTTACAAAAACAAGCAGGTAGCTAGATTTGGCTGTATTGTGACCCTTGGACTAGAACAAAGAATAGTAAGAGATAAGGATGGAAGATAGCATAAATCCCTTGTTGAGGGTCAGGCAAAGATAGCTTGCTAAGGTTTGTACTGCATTCCAGATATGGTGGGAAACTATTGGGTGGGAGATTGTGAGCCTGGTTAGACAATGTGGTTAGACTAGTACTTTAGAAAGAGTGCCCTGGCAGCAGTAGTAGCTTGGAGGCAGTGTTACTTAGAAGACATTTGGAACATTGGCTTGGAGTTTTATTTAATTCTGATGAAGGAAAGAGGAACTTTTATTGATACCTCAGGAACTTGGTATATTATTGGCGATTGAATAATGTAGTTGTGAGTTGGGTGTAATTCAAAGGTTTTGAGTGAAGTGAATTGAAAAGATTCATCTGTTTTTGTTTTTTTTTTTCAAGTGTGTTGAATTTATATGTATTAGTACAGCTAATAGCTGGAGCTGGTGAAGAGTTTAGCAGTGAAAGGTCTAGTGTGGTGGGTACTTTGAACAAAGGCAAATTCACATTGTGTGTATGCTGATAGGGAAGCAGCTAACTCTACTGTCCACCTTCCCTTCAATGTTGATTCCAGTAACAAGAATCAAGACAGGAAGAGCAGAAAGTTTGGTGGGGAAATTGATGGAGTTAGTTGGAGTGTATTGAATGTGTAGTCCTTGGAGAAAAGTTAACAAACATAAGCTGAAAGCCCACTGGAAATGAGAGTCTGAAGTCAAGGAAACAATTTAGGATTAGGATTGTGGAGACAGGAAAGGGTAGCAATTAAACTGTAAGCCATTTGCTTAAGGGAGAAGCAAGAGTTGGTCTGAGAGTTTAAGGGTTGGACAGAGAAAGAGGAACCAGAGAAGATCACCATTGTTAGAGATGGGTGGAATGCCTTGTAGTAGAAGTGGAGGGAAAGCTGAGCACCAGTGGCTCATGCCTGTAATCCTAGCTACTCAGGAGGCTGAGATCTGAGGATCTGGTTCAAAGCCAGCCTGGGCAGGAAAGTCTGTGAGACTTTTTTTTCTTTTAAGATACTGTGAGACTCTTATCTTCACTAAACCACTAGAAAACTAGAAGTGGCACTGTGGCTCAAGTGGTAGAGCCCTTACCTTGAGCTGAAGAGTGCAGGGACAGCGCCCTGGCCCAGAGTTCAAGCCCCATGACTGACCAAAAAAAAAAAAAAAAAAGTGGAGGGAAGAGTGTAAAGTTTGACCGTCTATTCCAGTGTGACCCTGTGAAGGGATCACACCTCAGGGAAGCCACTTAGCTCTGCCAGTTGTATGGTTATCCTTTACATCCTGCAAGAGAAGGCCTTCAGTGGAGCACAGGTAGTGAAGCCACTGGAGAGTAAGGAAGACTGGGAGGGGATGAGGGAAGAGGCAGAAAGTGCCATGTTTGTTGTTTTAGTTGGTGTGATTTTTTTTTTTTCCTCCTAGGTTAGGAAGGAGACTGACTAGGCAGTAGCAGTTTAGCATCCTTTCTTTCTTTCTTTTTTGGCATAGCAAGTTTAAATGAGGTTCTACCTTTTGGCTACCTTCAGTTAATGATTACTATGTGATTGTGTTTCATTAGCAAATGTTTGGAAAACATTAAATCAAAACAGAAGTTTATTTATTATTTTTTCTCCTGCCCCCCCCCCCCCCAAGTTTATTTATTAGAGGTCTTTTCAGAGCGGTTGATATACTAAAAACTAACAAGGAAGAAAGTGAAGAATTTTTCAGATGTTATAAACTTGTGAACCCATTTTTCAGCTCTCATTTCCAGGAATTAAATGGAACACATTTTGGGAAATGCTGACCTAGGCAGAAAGGGAGAAGGAATGATTATGAAACTAGTGACATTGACTTTTATTTTTTCATGTTGTACTGTGTGCAATTATTCTATTTGCAAACCTGATTTGTCATTCACATCTCTGGTCATTGATAATCATGCTGAACAAGGTCAAAGGTATTATGAGGACTTTCCTTAGTCTGGTGTGGATATATCTCAACTCTATTTTATTTTTCCCATGAGATCTCTGTGAAAGATTTTATAATCAAGTCTTGAGACTGGTAGGTGTGAGGTTGGATGAGGGCTGAGAGTGAAACAGCAGTTGATTACAGTGTTTGGACATCTTGCTGAATAGACATTCAGGAG